GACATAACAACTGACTGGCGAGAAAGACATAGAAAAGTTTTTACTCTATTGCTAGGAGAACGTCCCTCACTCCTCGTTCAGACATGTGTTCACTCTTCATCTGTTTGTATGTGTGATGTCTCTCCTAACCCAAACAAGAGAAGATTTTTTAGGCGCACCATGTCGGCACTTCTCCTCTATTGGTAGGTTGCCACCTTCTTATCCTCTGTCGGGCCTGCCGGTGCCGGGGGGGTGGGGGGCTCGGTCTACCTAACGGAGATGTAGTTTCCTCCGATTTGCGAGTTTTAGGTAGGATTTTGATGTCCGTTGGTTGGGCCCTTTTACCGGTGATGGCAAGATCACACAATAAAGCGCCTCCGTGGTGCGCCATTGATGGTGGCAGAAGTTTGTCCAACGAATACTTCTTCCTCGAGCCTTCCCATATCAATGGTGTTGTATGTGATAATGTAAATTTCTCGCAAGCGTAGATTCCTGTCGTCCATTCTGCATGGTAGGGCTAGGGTTTGCACGATTGTTTTGGGGTGGCGGTGAGCGGTGGTTCCGTTCCTAGTTGAATCCTCCATCCTCATCTTTATTGGTGTGAAGCCTATGAGATTTAGTGGAGCTCGCATTTTTGGATCCGTGGCTTTTCCGGCTTTGATGACTTCTCTGCAGGACAACGAATTGGCAAGACCATGACCTAGATGACTTCATGTTAAATTTTGTAGTCAACTCCTATAGTCGTGTCATGCCTCCCTTAATACAGTAATATTTTGGAAGAAAATTGGAGTCATTTTCTTGTAAAGAAAGTTCAGCCACCTCATATATATAAGAGATGTAATGGCCGATTGAGCAACGCCCAATCAATCAATCTACCACTTTTACCTTCATCTTTCGATCTCTCCTTCATTATATTCTTCCCCGTTCTTCTTTGTCGTTCATCCCGTTCTTCTTTGTCGTTCATGTTTGGTGGCAACAATCTACAAGACCCTAGGGGCATTTAGGTCGACCTAGAGCATCCCATAGCAAGTGCTCCCTGATGGGGTCCCTTCAAGATGTGTGGGGTTTCGGGTCCTCAAAGATCTCGTCGGCGTGTCTTGCATATCCGGCGAGACTCCTATGGCAACGTAGGCTTGCTTATCACACTCGACGCCGGGGTACACATTGACATGTTCATGTGCAAATAGAAAGCCAATTAGCTTTGTAACAAGTAAGCTTAGCTTTAATTTACCAATCATGAAGTTGTGGACTGCAGATCTATTCTTCCCAGCCCAGGCAGGACCAGAGGGTGCCCAAGCCTGAGGTGTAAATTTTTAGAGTCCATATTAGGAGAAAGGGAAATATTCTTAATTTTATTACGAGAATTTTGATTGCTGCATTTACGGAAGATGATGAAAGATTTTACTCCAATTTGGTGTTTGCCCAGAAGTATCACAAGAAATATAATGATATGCGCAAAAATAGAGGCCTCATTATTATCCGTACTACCGTAAACAATCAGGTAATTCACAAACATCGACAAATGTTGGGGACCAGAGGGGCCAGCTGGGTACCTTCCAAACGATTAGAATTAAATGCTTCTTATAGACAAAGTGACAGTTCATTGACAACAAGAGTGAAAAGATAAGGCGATAACGGACAATCTTGTCAGATACATTTGAGTGCCCCGAAAGCAGTGAAAAGGTTGGGCATTAATGTTAACGGCAAAGGAGACATACGTCATGGATTTAAAAATTAAATTTATGAAATGACAATGAAACCCTTTATTGTCCAGGTCAGCCGCCACGCCTGTGCCAGTACATCCGTGTGTTTCCATGCCATTGCCAATTGTCTCTGTAGGCGTTGCACCATTTTAGTGCTTTGGGATGGACCTAGGTTGCTCCATGACAAGGTTGAGACGACTTTTACAAAGATCTATTCTAGTGAAAACCTAGGGGGGGCTCCACCTGGATATGTGGACTGGGGACAACTAGGTGTCGGAAGCAGAGAATGCCCTCCTCCTCCCTTACATGAAAAATGATGCTGAAGCCACTATCTTGTC